CACTTAAGAGGGAAATCGGGAGGGCAAAAATGGGACATGAAATAGCTTTGGATTCTCCTTAACCCTATTTCCCAAAGGGATTCTACAAAGTTTTGAAGGGCAAAAGGGTAACTCGGGAAAGAATAAGGACCCTGAGGTAGCCCTGCTGGTCTTTATGTGTAGAACCGCAGGAGATGGGGGAGATATTAAATGAGTATTATGCATCAGTGTTTACTGTGGAGAAGGATATGGAAGATAGACAGTGTGAGAAAATAAATAGCGACATCTTGAGAAATGTCCATATTTCAGAGGAGGAGGTGCTGAACATCTTAAAACGCATAAAGGTGGATAAATCCCATGACCTGATCAGGTGTGCCCTCAAACTCTTGTGGGAAGCAAGGGAAGAGATTGCTGAGCACTGAGATAATTGTATCATCGATAGCCACAGGTGAGGTGCCAGAAGACTCGAGGTAGGCTAACATGGTGCCACTATTTAAGAAAGGTGGTAGGGAAAAGCCAGGAAACAGTAGACCGCTGAGCCTGACATCAGTGGTGGACAAGTTGTTGGAGGGAATCCTGAGTCACAGGATGTAGACGTATTTGGGAAGGCAAGACTGATTAGGGATAGTCACATGGCTTTGTGCATGGGAAATCATGTCTCATAACTTAACTGACTTCTTGAAGAAGAAACAAAGATGATTGATGAGGGCAGAGCAGTGGAGGTAATCAAGATGGACTTCAGTAAGGCATTTGGGAAGGTTCCTCACGGTAGACTGGTTAGCAAGATTAGATCACATGGAATACAGTGAGAACTAGCCATTTGGATGCAGAACTGGCTCGAAGGAAGAAGGCAGAGAGGGTGGTGGTGAAGGGTTGCTTTTCTGACTGGAGGCAGTATGCCACAAGGATCGGTGCTGCATCCACTGCTTTTTGTCATGTATATAGATAATTTGGGTGTGAACATAGGAAGTATGGTTAGTAAGTTTGCAGATGACACCAAAGTTGAAGGAGTAGTGGACAGCGAAGGTTACCTCAGTACAATGGGATCTTGATCAGGTGGGCCAATGGGCAGACAAGTGGCAGATGGAGTTTAATTTAGATAAATGTGAGGTGCTGCATTTTTGAAAGGCAAATCAGGGCAGGACTTATACACTTAAGAAAAGGTCCTGGGGAGTGTTGCTGAACAAAGATACCTTGGAGTGCAAGTTCATTGTTCCTTGAAAGTGGAGTCATAGGTAGACAGGATAGTGAAGAAGGCATTTGGTATGCTTGATTCCATTGGTCAGTGCATTAAGTGTAGGAGTTGGGAAGTCATGTTAAAGCTGTACAGGACATTGGTTTGGCCACTTTTGGAATACTGCTACAATTCTGGTCTCCCCGTTATAGAATGTTGCGAAACTCGAAAGGGTTCAGAAAAAATTTACAAAGATGTTGCCAGGGTTGGAGGATCTGAGCAATAGGGAGAGGCTGAGAAGGCTGGGGCTATTTTCCCTGGAGTATCGAAGGCTGAGGGGTGACCCTTTATGGAGGTTTTTAAAATTATGGATATGGTATATATATGGCATAATATCCCACCTTTGGGTGGCAAGTCCAAAACTAAAGGGCGTAGGTTTAAAGTGAGAAGGGAGAGACTTAAAAGGGATCTAAGGGGAAAATTTTTCATTCCGGGTGCTGCATGTATGGAATGAACTGCCAGGGGCAGTGGTGGAGGCTGGTACAATTACAACATTTAAAAGGCATCTGGATGGGTATATGAATAGGAATGGTTTAGAGGGATATGGGCCAATTGCTGGCAAATGAGACAAGATTTATTTAGGATATTTGGTCGGCATGGACAAGTTGGGAAGAGTCTGTTTCCATCCTGTATATCTCTATGACTCCATGACTATTAGAAGTCCTGCAGTCATCTGGCACTTCACCTGTGGCCAGCCTATTGTTAAATACCTCCTCCAGGGTCCAACAATCTCCTTCCTTGCTTCCCATAGCATCCTGGAATACATCTCATCAGGACCTAAGGATTTATGCACTGTTATGCCTGTTAAAATATCTAATTTCTCCTTCATTAGTATCTCCTTAGTGTGTTCTAGAACCTGACCAATCCAACTGAAAGTTCCAGCTACAATGTCTTTCTCCTTTGTAAATACGGATGAGAAGTATTCATTTGAGATCTCATCTGTGTCCTTTCGTTGAATGCACAGATTTCCCCTTTGGTCTGTAGTTGGCTGCACTCTTTCCCTGTCAATCCTCTTCCTCTTAATATACTTATAAAATGCCTTAGGGATTTTCCTTCATCCTGTCTGTCAAAGATATTTTGTGGCTCCTCTTCACTGTCCTAATTTCTTTTTTGAAGTATCCCTGACACACACTATACTCTTGAAAGGCCTCCCCTGATTATAATGCTCTATACTTAACATCTGCTTCCTTTTTCTTTATCAAACTTTTGATATCCTTTGACGTCAAGGGTTCCTTGGACTTTTCTGCTCTTGCCCTTCAATCCTAGAGGAACACACAGGCAATTCGTTCTCAGTTATCACGTGTAATCACGTTAAAAGACTCCTCTTTCCAAGTGTGGACTCAGCTGCAAGTAGCTGCTCCTAGTCTGTTTGCCAGATCCTGTCTCCTGATATTGAAATTGGTCTTCCCACCCCCCCCCTCAATTATCAACTTAACTTCTGCACTGTCCTCTTCCCTTTCTATAATGACCTTTAAACTTAAAGTTATGGTCACTAACTCCGAAATGCTCGCCTGTTGACACTTCAGTCACTTGGCTGACTTCATTTCCCAGGGTTATGTCTCACAATGCCCACCTCTATTAGAGCTATCTATGTACAAGCACAAGAAGCTCTCCTAGATGCACTTTAAAAAAAAATAAATAAATTCACCCTGTGAAATCCTCTCGCGCTAAGGCAGTCTCACTTAATGTTGGGAAAGTTGAAATCCCCTACTTGCTCAAACCCTATTTCTCTCTAACTTCTCTGTGATTTGCCTACAGATTTGATCCTCTATCTCCCTCTGACTTTTGGAAAGCCTCTAATCCCAGCAAAATAAACGCCCTGTTTTATTTCAAAGCTCTACCCTTCTGGCTTCGTTTGAAGAGCCTTCTAGGTCATTCCCCCACCTCATTACTTCCATCAAGTATTGGTTGTACATCCCAAAGACTGGCAGAAGATATCAAATTGTCCCTATGGGGTTTTCAGCAGGGAAGGTACCAATTGTACTCAACCAGCCTGCATTTGAAAAGCTCAATAGATAGTGTCCAACATGAGATGTGATTCTGAGGTTGGACAACATTTGCTAAATAATGGAGTTTGCTAAGAATTCTGCCGGCAACCAATTTAAAATTGTCAGTCAGACTCTCAGAACAGTACACTTGCACATACTAGAAGATGCATAAATTAATATATGGCCCTGTTCTTTGCGAACTTTTTATTCATAGGATGTGGCTAGGCCAGCATTTATTACCCATTTCTAATTGCCCAGAGGGCAGTTAAATGCCAATGATATTGGAGTCACATGTAGACCAGGCCGGTTAAGGATGGCAGTTTCCTTCCTTAAAGCATGTTGCTGAAACAAATGGGTTGTTCTAACAATCGGCGACAGTTTCATGGTCATCATTAGACTTTTAATTTTAGATTTTTTTTTATTGAATTCAAGTTCCCCTAATCTGCCATTGCAGGATTTAAACCCAGGTCCCCAGAACATTATTTGGGTCACTAGGTCAGTAGTTTAGTGATAATACCACTAGGCCATCACTTCCCCGCTCTTGTACACACACTGTACCTGTTTCAAAAGACCAAAATAGGCGACAAGCACTCTATGGTTTATTCCTCAAGGCAATGTCTTCACCAAGCAGAGTGAATCTTCTCAATTTATTTTAACAATAGTTTGTCAGTTGACTATAAGTTGGCCTCTTACTGTGCATTCTTCTTGATAATGCTTTGACCAATCAAAGCCCATTTAACAACCAATCAGCACACTTTCATACAGTATGAAAATGTTTTTGTTTACATTTGTGTTTTTGTGAATATCCTCAAGTACAAGATGAAAATCTTCAACAAAATGTTTTTTAAAGCAATCTTCAACTTCTGTATTATCCGTTGATTATTTATAGATACATAGTTGATTATCAATGTCCTTGTGTGATATGATCTGTCTGTACAGCTTGTAAAACAAATCTTTTGACTGTACTTCGATACATGTGATAACAATAAATGAAATCAAATATCCACAGTCTCTGATAATCAACATGTAATCAAGCGTGGACTTCACAACAGCATCTGATGTCATCCCAACGACTGGTGGAACCACCTTGTCATATTTGATTTGGAAATAGACTGTAGCTTAAACGTGTAAAATGTTAGCTTGAATTTTTCAATTTAGTTCCCAGATAAGAAGTTACCGTACTACAGAGATTTCTCAGATCTAAAGTGATCTAAACTTAAAACTATTCTCTAACCCATGGGTTAGCAGTTTAACAACTTAAAAACTTGATGACAATGAATACAATGCATATAAGTATTACTGTATGTAACAGTACCAGTTAGGTGTTAAAATTACTCTGGACAGATGTTTATCTTTTTTTCCTGAAATAGTAAAACAACATGTGGTTAGCACCTAGGACATGATATAAATCATATCTCATGGGACTTCCCAATTTAATGTGCTCATTCTAAAAATTAAAATGAATCTGGAATGTGTAAAAGAAAGGTTTATTCTCATCCTGCATCCTTTTATGTTCTCAACTGGTTCCAATGTTGTTGTGATATCGCAAATGTTGATTCATACTAGTAGCATTTTCCTAAGTTGATGATCAGCAGAAAGTTTTTCCACAAATGCCACATTTTTATATATTACTTATTTGTTGTGCTCCATGTAATGATGTGTCACCCTTTCTTGCAATGCTCTCTAACAAGCTTGTCATAAAATTTGACATCTAATATATGCCTTTATACATTGAGTGTTAAATGTTGCTTGAAGGAAATGTGTGTGTATTGTTAATATTACTTTTAACTTTGGTACAGGACAAAAAATGGGTCCTTAATCATGAAGATGTGACACTTGGAGAATTGCTTGGTAAAGTAAGTTTGATTTTTTAAATTGTTTAATGTTTTTAATGTGTGTAGTGGTATATTTGCATCATATTGCATTCTCAATTTCTCAATTATGAATCCACTTTCCAGGGCATGTATCACAGTAATTCAGTACTGCGAGGTGTTTCAGGTTAATGAACATTTACTTTTTGACACACACTCTCTCTCCTTTTCCTCAGTTCTGTTGAAAGTCATCAACCTGATTAATTCTGTTTCTTTCTCCTCTGCTTTCTGGCTTGCTGTGCGTTTCCAACTCTCTCTTTTTTAAGTTTTCGGCATCAGCAGTTGTTCTGCTTTCGGCAAGCAAGTAGAATACTGGTTCTCAATCAGAAGATGCATAATTGGAGATTCCTCAGACTTGAAGCTTCAATGGTTATTGTGTTCTATGTTAACAAATGTTTAAATAAAAACAAGCTTTATGAATATTTAGAACTCTGTTTATATGGTGCAGGACAAAAATATTATGCCAGAAGTTTGGAGTTTGATGTAGTGGAGGTTAGTTTCAATTCTCAAAGATTAAATTAGGAACAATAAAGTATGTGCATAACAAGATAAGTGACCAAGTTATTTTGACTGAAAATACTTTATTTTTTTCCTACTTTTATGTTTGGAAATTTTTTTTTGATTCACTCAGTTGTTATTTTAATACCTATCACTTCACTGAGGATGTTCTTACTTGCAGTAAATATTAATAACTTCCTTATTTTCTTTTTAAAGAAGTTTCTGATGTTGAAGTTACGTAAAACATATTTCTGTTTTCACTTCTCCAACACTGAATATTGGGTCATTTTGTGGATTAGAGTGCATGCCTTTGGAGGAACCTTGATGGGAGTAAAAACAGTTCCTTTCCAGGCATTCGTGCTGATCCAATATTCAGTGTACCTTGTGTAGATTTAGGAATATTTTGCCTATAGCTTCCTGATTATTAAAAAAAATTAATATTTATGGCTTATGTTTGATATAAAAACAAAAATACTGCTGGTAAAGTTCTGCAGATCAGGTCGCATCTGTGGCAGAAAAGGAGTTAATTTTTCAAGTTGATACAGATACAGGATTTCCCCCATCTCACTGTCCAGGGCCTCAAAAGCTTTACCAAGTGAAATAGCAATTTATTTGCACTTCTTTTAATGTACTATAATGTATTAGATGCTGTAAATGTGATTTTCTTTGTATTGGGGAGATGAAATGCAGACAGGTTGACCGTGCTGTGAACACACTCTCTTTAATGTCGCCAAGCATGAACCCAAGCTTCCATTTGCTTGTGCTTTTAATTTTCCACCTTGCTTCCATGCTGGCATTTCTTTCTCTGTATTTCACTGAAGCTCCATGGAAGTTTCAGAAACGATAACTTGCTTTCCAACTGGCCTTTTGGTCTTAAATTGAGTTTGACAACTTTAGATCAAAACCATCGTCTTCGTCTTGTTGTATGTCTTTTTTTCTTGGCCTTTTCTTCTTCCCCTTTGTTTCTGATTGACCTTTTGCCTTGTTTCTTTCTTTATCCCTTTCTGTTGCATTCAGGTGATCTTAATATAGCAAGTCATGTATCATTTTGACATATTTGTTTCTTCACTGTATCTATTGCCATACTTTTTTACTTTGCCCCTCTGGGGTAGCAAGCTGGAAATCAAGCTGCACTATTCCCTGAGTTGTCACAGAAGCTAAAGGTTTAAAACAGTATGTAGAATTCCCCAATTCACCTGACTTGATGTTTGATAGGAAACATGACCAGGTTTCTGTACTTAATGAATTCCTATTTATTACAGATAAATAGACTCATTACAGGTGAACAATTATGAACCGTCAACATATAACTACTCATAAAAACTCAGCATCCTTATTATCTCTTTCTGAATACACACATACTGAGAAAATAACATGGATGTTATAGACGGAGAGAAGGTGTTCTGTGCACCTATTCACAGGAGTTGCTGAGATGATTTTTGTGTTGATCAGAACACTTCTTCTTGATCGTTCATCTCCAGATTCTTGATTTGTTTGCAGGAGGCAGAGGACGACTGGTTCATGCTAACAAAAATCTGACTTATTATATTAAATATCATAGCTTTCAGCACTTGCTGAAGGAAAAAGAACCTGGTTTTCTTCATAAAGTTTTTTTTTGACTTCAGAGAACAGAAACAGCTCCTCAGCTTGCAGACCTTCTCAATACTGTTGTAAACTTTGACATGGATATTTAACATGATTATGCAAGTTTTCTCTAAACATTTTAAACACATATATTAAAGCACACAAAGGAATTGAGAAGATTTTCCTGTAAGAAAATTACAGTCAAAAATATTTTCTTGTTTTTGCATTGCCATGGTGGTTTAATCTGAAAGATCCCACCCTAACTCCCCACCTACACTCACCTTTACTGGCTCCATCCCCACCTCCTTGACCTGTCCGTCTCCTCTCCACCTATCTGCTCCTTTATCCATCTTCCATCCACCTCCCTCTCTCTCTCTTTATTTCAGAATCCCCTTGCCCTCCCCCATTTCTGAAGAAGGGTCCAGACCCAAAACGTCAGCTTTCCTCCTCTGATGCTGCTTGGCCTGCTGTGTTCATCCAGCTCTACACCTTGTGATCTCAGATTCTCCAGCATCGGCAGTTCCTACTGTCTCTTAATCTGAAAGATATCTGTTTATGATGACATAAATGTTATACTTTTCAGGGGAATTTTGGTGAAGTTTTCAAGGGAACATTGAAAGATAAAACTCCAGTGGCTGTGAAAACATGCAAAGAAGATTTGCCGCAAGAGCTGAAAATTAAATTCTTATCAGAAGCAAGGTAGGATTAGTATTTGGAGAATGCACAGAGAGGAGAATTGCATTAATATTTATGGAAGCAATTTCTTCTTGCATGCTGACAAACTTGAATCTGAATGTGCCAATCCAATGTTTTGTTGAAGCAAGATCTTACCAGTCTCTTTCAAGGTTGGCTACTGAAAAGATGAAGACTTTTACACCCCTGCCTGATCTCTGTCTGTATTATATTTTGCTTCCACTTTATAGTCCACCACAGGCGGTTAGACACAGAAACTTATCGCAGGGCTTATAATTCCCATGGGTCAAAATCAATGTTGGTAATGTGTGTTGGTCACCATTGTTACTGCATCATGATACGTTGTAATACTTTTATAAAATTTTCAAGTCTGCCTTAGCCATTCTCTCAGGTTAATCATGACCAACCTCCCAATTTCTAGCTAGGTTCACAATAGAGGCCCATTGGTACCTAGACTATTTACAATAAATCCTCCTCTCTCATTCTCATTAGAAAGGCAGAGTGATCGAGAATTACGTGAGATGTATCACATTAAAAATTACCGAGTTGCCATCTTTCATAGTTAATAATTAAGACACATTTGTCGAAGATCTCATCTTGTTTCAAATTCTTGTAATTAAGATGATAATAAATCACTTCACTATCTGATAGTTGATGGGCAAAAACTTTATTTTGGTCAACTTTGTTACTGAAACAGGAAAGTTTTCTTTAGGTCTGACCACCCGTGTTAAGGCAAACTTGGCTTACTGTTCCCTCTCAAAAAATATAGTTTGATCTTAGGCATGCTTTTGTTTTCTCTCCCTGTTTAGCTAGCTTCTATAGTCTGATTATTGAATCCTTCAAAATGTAGGCATTACAAAAAGACCTACCAATTGAGACCGCCATCGCTACCTGTGACGTGAACTCCCTGGTCTAGAAGTTGATTCGCATTCACACCAATCTTACAGCTAAAAGGCAGCTACCTAAGCCTCCAATCCGGTGGGAAATGAAATACTGATCTTGTTTTATAATATCCAAATTGGCTGCAGCAAGTCACAATTGGCCTCGTTCCTCATTGTCCTAATTCAGCTGCAATTTAATGACTGTTCCTTCATTTTAATTGATACTGATTTTTGTGTTAACCCAATACTCTCGACAGTTCACAAGAATGATTGCATAATCTTCTGTAATAGGACAGCGAACATTTGGGCAGCTGGTTTCCCTGAGTTGACTGTACAATACTTTCTTTTTCCACATCTAGTTGCCAGCTAGATTGAAAATCTTTGCAGCCTCAAGTCCACTTGAGTGCAAGCCTGTAACATGAGTCAGAACTGAATCCTTCAATTGTGTAAAAGATTCAAATCTAATGACACCTTTTAAAAACCTTCATTAAGTTGAATATTCCTGGAAAACAAATGAATGGAATGGAATGTTGACTCAGGTGAACTAGAGGTGCATACTGTTTTGATGCATATCAGAACTTATTGAGAATTTCCAAAGGATTCACATCAAGAGTATCACAATTGAAACATCAGACTTGAAGTGGAGCCCCTTTGCCACAGAAGTGTGAAGCTGAAGCTTTTTATTACTGACATATCAACTTATGCTAAAAATTAGTTTTCTCTTTTTTTTGGTTTAAACTTTTCTTTTCCAAAACAACATTTTCACCGTTCTTAATCATTCTGCTGTGTGTTAATCGTGTCTGCATTGGAGTGCTATGAACTTTGCAAATCTTCACTAAAAGCTTTCTGTGAATAAGTATCTTTCACTTTTATACAGGATACTCAAGCAGTACGATCATCCAAACATTGTCAAACTGATTGGTGTTTGTACCCAAAGGCAGCCCATTTACATTGTTATGGAGCTAATACCAGGTAACATGCTTAAGTGCGTCACTTTCATTATTGGTACATATCTGGGTCAAAAACTTCCATCTCAATACTTACTTGTAATAGCCTAAATATATGAAAATAAATTTGCATTTAACTAAGAAGCCAAAAATGTACTCCTTGATAATGTTTCTATTTATTAAGATGCATTCATTGCCTTGTCTGAAAACTCCCGTTACATTTTAAGTGGTGCACAATATATACAATGTGAGCATAGTGAAATCAGTGGAAACCTGATCAAAAAAACTTGACAAAAAAATGATTGTTAGATTTCTTTAATAAATTAAATTTGAATTTGAAATTTGAGATAACAAGGTGTAGAGCTGGATGAACACAGCAGGCTAAGTAGCATCAGAGGAGCAGGAAAGCTGATG